AGTCAAGGAGTCTTGATAGTCAAGGAGTCCCTACACAGTACGTAAAGATTCTTCGTGAGCTGTACAAAAATTTCACAACCAAGATATCACCATTCTACAACGATATTAACATTGACGTCAAAAGAGGAGTTAGGCAAAGTGATACCATCTCGCCAAAATTATTTACCGCCGTCCTCTAGAACGTCATTTGAACGTTGGAATGGGGTAATATGAGAGTGAAAATCGATGGTCGGCAGTTACATCATCTTCGCTTTGCTGATGACATCGTCCTTATAACACGAAACATTAGTCAAGCTGAACGTATGCTTGCTGACTTTGACAAAGCCTGTGGAAAGATTTGTCTTCGACTAAATCTCACAAAAACGATGTTCATGAAGAACGGTTTGGTTTCGTATGCACTAAGCTCACTCAACGGAACAAATACCTCCGAATGTTCCAGTTATGTCTATCTAGATCGAAAAATCATTGTGATGAACGACATTGTGGAGCTGAACCAAAGGAAACGAGTGGCTTGGGGAGCTTTCAAGAGCGCTGAAGATGTAGTGAAGTGGGCAACGAACACCGGACTCGGTACCCACCTTTTTTGCTCAACGGTACTTCCTGCGTTAACATATGCGTCAGAAACCTAGTCGCTGCATCAGCAGGATGAAAGATCACTCAGCGTTATCGAACGCGTAGTCGAAAGAACGATGCCCGTTCCACACAAGTAAGGTAACCGAAACTCCGACCTGCGTCAACGATCAAAAATGAAAGAAGCTGTTTTGTGCGCCAAACAGTCTAAGGTGGGTCGGACACGTAATGCGTATGAATGACAACCGTTGGACATGAGCCGTTAGTGAGTGGATTCCTCGAAACGTGAAACGCACTGCAGAAGGACCACCGACCTGATGGTCAAGTTCTTGACGAAAACCCTAGAAGAAAGGTATGATGCTCAACGAGTTCCTTGTGCGAGCAGACCCCACTGGGCTACTCTTGCACGCGACAGGAAGAAATTGAAGATTTACTGGTGCTCGCTCGGGTCACTCCATGATCAACAGGACTACAGGTGAAATAGGTGATTTTCTTCCATTCATTAATGTATTACTGTAAGCATAATTACTGTAGATAGTATATCATCAGCCTGAGAAAATGAGGGGTAATGCGTTCCGCATTGATTCACTGTTATGTAGGAATACTCTATGATTTATCGACTCCACTGAACGTCGGTGAAGTTACCGACTGCGTAATTTGCCTTTGCAACGGCATTCCGTATCTTTCAGATGTGTCGCTTCGGTTTTTTGTCCTCGAAGACAAGTACGGTGCCATTTTGTCGACCCTGGAGAATAGGGCTTATTTAGTTCGGAGGGTGTGATCGAACCAACGTTGTCTCATCGACGTCGCAAGTCACCTATAACCGTCACCTAAGTAACCTTTCCATAATATATCTTTGTCAGTAGTTGTTTATGTGCTATGCAGCTGATCCACCAAAGTCTCACATCGTACGTCATTGACGACTCCGTTGTTTTCATAATCACTTTCACAAATTTCACATGCGAAAGTAGTTCAATTTGAAAAGGCATCACATGTCATCACGATGGCCGGGGCGTCGCTTTTCACTGCTAGGCACGGAACTTCCCATTTAGCTGATTAGATCAAACGTACAATTTCGTTCATAAAATAGTACGCTTGTAAATTTTTAGTCAAGACACAAGTATGACAGATCATTTTCATCAACGCGGCCTACTTTTTATTCTTCCTTTTTTGGCACTTGTGCGATTTTGTTTGGACGTGTAATCCATCAAACACAGTTGTTAGATTCTGTTATGAGTTTACCGTGCAGAAGTCCACCTTCTCCTTTTCTTAAAATTCTGTGGTCTGTTCTTATAATGACAAAGTCCTTGTACTGGAAAAAGATCATCGCAGTCAATGTGGTTTTCAGAATTTCTTCTCCACACTTCCATATGAAACTACATGAACAGCAATGGTTTTTTGGTTGAAATGCTGCGAAAACATTTCGGAATTTCGTCAAATAATGTTTTTTTTCTGACCAGTTAACAAAATTGGGGCTTGCGCAGTTAGAAACAGTAAAATAATCTATTAGATAAGGTTTTTGTGAAATAGTAACTATTTATAGAAACTTTTTAGCCGCTACTAGTACCATCTGATATAAACCTTTCGTTGCAGAATGCTGTAGTTACAATCGGAATCACTCTCATTGGGGCTGAAACTTAGCGATAGAGCATGGTTTCCATTTGAATTTTCTTCCTTATATACTTATTAACTGAATAATTTTATACTTTTTTCCAAAGAAAGTTCATGTCGAGACTTCTTGAATTTCTGTCTAAGCAATCGTCAATGAGGATGTTTAGTGTAAATTTTCTGCAAACACAGATACACAAACGTATTCTGTTTCTCTTCATTTATTTTTCTCTCTCGCCCTCATTAGCCTTCTTGTTTTCTTGCGTTAGCTCTTCTTTTCTCTCACCTTTCTTTCACTTGCTAACTTATTGCTAAAATCTAATAGTAGTCTCTAGGAAGTTTTTTGGTCAGTTTCCATTTAATTCCAAGAATAAAGAAATGCTATATAGGTCCACTTGATTTGTACTGAAACATCTACGCAAAAGCCTAAATGCGATGTTTTTCTTTGCAACAAATAATACTACTTTTTGGCTCCTTGTATCTTTCGTTATCTGTTTGCTATTCGGGAAAACTCCAGTAGATTCTCACACTAAACGCAATTTTCTTCGTATCCCAAATTGGGCAGAGGGGAGACCTCTTCAGAGCTCATCGGTCCATGTGCATCGATTTTTCTGGTTAGGCTTACTGAAAAGTTTTTTTAATTGTCGATTACACTTAATTTTCCAACTGTTTATTTATTCGCCATGTGGACTGTATAAACTTCAGCAAAAAATGGAAACGAATTAGATAGATAGGTATGCATTTGCTATTAGTTTAATATACATTTTTTGTATTTTGTAAACAAAAACCTTCCGTAAGCCCGTCTGCACTAAATGGTAGAGTTTACGACCATTTTAGGTCAAGTGATTTTCTTCGTATTTTTGTTGAGCAAACGCGAAGTGTTACTATTCTTTGTTCACGATTAAGCTGACGTTTCGGGGGATTTCGCCTTCTTCAGAGCCTGGAAAGGTCAAGTTGATAGCAACTCACTCGGCCAGACGCCTCCATAACCAAACAAAGAAACTCCAAACCAAGATTTCAATCACTTTGAACACAGCTTTGCACACTCACCGCTTTCTATGAGGTTTCCACTAAGTATGTCACGCAGAGACCAACCGCACAGAAATCACGTGGAAGTATAATGTGCCCCTCACATCAGNTCAAGTGATTTTCTTCGTATTTTTGTTGAGCAAACGCGAAGTGTTACTATTCTTTGTTCACGATTAAGCTGACGTTTCGGCGGATTTGGCCTTCCTCAGAGCATGGAAAGGTAAAGTTGATAGCAACTCACTCGGCCAGACGCCTCCATAACCAAACAAAGAAACTCCAAACCAAGATTTCAATCACTTTGAACACAGCTTTGCACACTCACCCTGATGTGAGGGGCACATTATACTTCCACGTGATTTCTGTGCGGTTGGTCTCTGCGTGACATACTTAGTGGAAACCTCATAGAAAGCGGTGAGTGTGCAAAGCTGTGTTCAAAGTGATTGCAATCTTGGTTTGGAGTTTCTTTGTTTGGTTATGGAGGCGTCTGGCCGAGTGAGTTGCTATCAACTTTACCTTTCCATGCTCTGAGGAAGGCCAAATCCGCCGAAACGTCAGCTTAATCGTGAACAAAGAATAATAACACCTCGCGTTTGCTCAACAAAAATACGAAGAAAATCACTTGATCAATGCCGAGGTTAATAGAAAGTCGGTCGTGGCATTTTGGGTCATTTAAGCATGATCGTAATTTTTTAGTTATAAATCTTAAGGCATCTACAGTATATTTCACTAGTTTATTTGCCTGCGCTTAATGTAAAATATTGGTATTGATTGTAGACTAGTGATTTTGCAAAAATGTGAAATATTTTCTGCGATGTATTGAGACTTTCTCAATTGAGTAGTTTTTGTTTCATTGCCTTTTCAAGGGCTTGCTAAGAAATATATCCGTTTGTAGATTTTTAACGGTTATTTTTTTTTACTAAGACTTTCACCCACTCATTTTGTCACCAGCAACTTTTTCAGTATTTTTTCTTCATAGTTTTTTTCACGAAGTACCTGATGTTTCGTAACCTGGGATGTTTCACCAACTTTCTATAAACTTATATAATGTGGGTTAAAAATAAAGTCGATACCATTTCTCGATATTAATAAGGTGCTGAGTTATTTTAATTCCTTTTTCTTTTTTTGTAAACTCCCTAATGGCAATGAATGTGAATTTGAGCTGGTAAAGACTTGGCTTCACTTTTAATGAGACCATCGGATGGGAAACTCGTAGTTTTTTTTGCGGGAGAGTTTATCTTCCAACCAGTCAATTTATTAAAAGTAGAAAGCTTGAGCCACCTACTGCAGTATATGGATATAGCTATCACGCGCACCATTCCACCGTCCATTTTGCTACAGTATTCCCCACAGTGCACCTAATGAAGCATCCAAAAAAGCTATTTTAATTTAGACAGGTTCGCAACTTACTTGTCTACTACTTATGTGGCTTTCTTTATCTACAACGGTGCTTCCGTTCTCGGTCGTATCACAGTGAGATCTAATCCTGTAGTGTCGATTTTTTTTGTCTTACTTTTTATAACTTACCTTATTTTTAAAGCGAAACCATGCTTATTATTGTGCTATTTATGTTGGTCGTTCAAAGCGAGCAAATTGTTGGCTAAGTTTTTTCAACTTTCGATTCGTTAACTATCTTCCACTTGCTTCATTCCAGACATCTAATTATTTCCTGTAGTCGGATTTCTGGTTTTAATCTGCAACTTCTTTCTTTCCCAACGCCTGTTAATTTGCATTTCGTGTCGAGACCGTTATTAATCGAACTTGTCGAGTACTGTGCTGTGTCTGCAGATGGTTGGATGAAGACAGCCGTGTTCGGTCACGACTCGGGCGGCGACGGCCCGACGGCCGCGTGCGGCGCGCCCTCGCTCACCTTCACGCCGCCGGCTGCGCTCGCGCCCGGCCACCCGCGCCGCGCGGCGGCCACCGCCGGCGCCAGTGGCGCCAACTCTGCCCGTCCGCACCCGCGACGCACCAGCCGGATGCAGAACGTGGGTTGCAATCCTCCGATCATTTACCCAATTAAGGGGATTGATAGCTTGATTCTTGAGAACGTGGGTTCATGTTGATGGTTTTAGAACAACACTAGAAACGAACGCTATTAACAAATATGCGTGGGGACTCCAGAAAACTGTGGACAAAAAGATTTGGCTTAGATCCATTAAAAAAACGTTAAGCGACTTTAAGAATCGCTCAGTTGAACATTTTCGGAACGAGAAACCCCGGTGAACTGTGGACGGGTACTTTTGTGCATTTTCTATTTTCGTAAATTCGGGCAAAACATTCTTTAAACAGGTGTTTTTCTTAACCATAAGGTTTTCTTTACTGGAAACATTTTTATGATCTGGAAGGTCTCTTGGCTTTGGACAATATTTTGATGTTTTAAAAACAGTTGTGATTCGTTCTTTAACCTCCTCTTGTTTTCGGATGTCTGCCTTAAAGGTTTTTTCCCTACATACTTTCTTCTTACGTGTCTGTAGTTTAATTTCCGTTCGCTAGACGACGATTGAAATTGGATAGCCAAAAAACAGCTTTCAGCGCAACGATGTCCATCGTACTGATTTTATCGAGGAGACAGTGTTTTTTCCTTGATAGGCATTTGAATCAGCTATGACAACAAATGGATTCGTAGTAGTAATGATTATACAAGTTTTTAAACCTAATCCCACAGGGTTTTCTCACTAATTGTTCCCTTTTTTTGTGTTCTTCCATTTACCTTCCTTTCTTTTTTTCACTCGTCTTTTGTTGGTTTTCACTGACAGATAATCGCGTCAGGATCTTTTGTCCAGAAGTGATATTAAATTATTCATAATTGCATGGCATATCCATCTATTGTCAACAATCGAAATCCAAACATTTTATGCACTTACTTTTCCTCATTTAAGTTCCGTATATCATCTAGTTTTGCTCATCAGTGAAAGTAGTTCTATGCCCTGAACACAACTATTGATTTGTCCTACGTCTTTTTTTCGTAGATTTTACAACATTCTACACGCTTTCATTCTTATCACTCAGTGAATTGTAAGTGCAACGTAATGCACCAAGGGGCAATCGTCCCATTCAGTTTGTTCACAGGATTAAAAGGAGTTTTCGCACTAAAATTTATCTGGTAATAATGGTTTTTCTGCAAAATCAGTGTTTTTATTGGTTTTGACACAAAGATCACATCTTGCAGAATTCTTTTCGAGCTATAGTCCCTCAAAACTCGCAGCAAGGCTGCTGGCACTCTTGCTGCCGTAGCATCTAAAACGCTTGGGAAAAAGTGCAGACTTCGCAGATTTCGTTAGTGTTTTTATCAGTGGATGCTTAGATTGATGGGATTGCTGTTGGTACAGATTATGAGCCACTAATATTATATGATGTTTTGTCTCATTTTCATTAAGAAGTTATCCTGGTCACCGTTGTTCCAGTTTTTCCCAGAAGATTGTCCATCTTTAATGAACTCTTCACTTTTTATTACGTTCATATTGAAACTCAATAGAGCATATTATTTAGAATTTAACGGTTTCTAGCTGTTTTCTCTAGATAAAGAAATTGCGTAAACAGTTTCATGGTGGTGATGCGGATCAAAACTGCCTCGGCGATCGACAAATTTGAAGTGAACTTCGGCAAGTTTCAGTAATTAACGAGTGACGTCATCTATAAATAATTTCTTTTTGTAAGCACTTACATGAAGAATTTATCTACTGTCAAATGCAAGGCAGTGCAATGATTCATGTGAGCCACACATGGCTCACATTATCGTCGTCCTTCAGAGTGGCCATCGTTCATTAACGTTTTGTCAAGATTTTTCTTAAGGCGTTACCTAGCAAACAATCGCATTATAAATATTTCTACAACTAATATTTTACAAAACAATCGGCAAGGTTTTTTCGCCATAAAAAATGAAGGGGCAATTTGTTTTTCTTTCTCCGTTGGTGCTCTGAACAATTTAAATTGAACGAATGGTGGCATTACTTGCTAAATGTCACACGAGCCTTTTTGTTCCAGAAATTACGTGACAAATCTGCATAGCGATAAATTTTGTCTCCTTTACTGTCATTTATACGAGAAAAAGCGTCATCGATTTTGGTGTATTGAAGTCTGTAAATTTCCTTACTGTTGACAAAGTTCATAAGATTTTAGCCTGCTAATCATTTTGTGTTGTGATTGCTTTAGCAAAAAAAGTTGTGAAAAAAATTCAGACCGCTACTTAGATGACCCATCTTCTCCAATCCTACGGATTCCAGTAATTTTTTCCATTCGTTTCGTTATTTTTTATCCGTCGATAAAAGCTGTCGGATTAGTGTATGATCTTGACTTAGTCTTGAGGACCTTGAGGATCTATCATCTTCATTCTCAACTGGCATCTTAAATGATGCTCTGGTGGGGTTTTTCCTGGAATTTTGGGACAGCCGTGCTATAGAGCGTTCCTAGGTTTCACTGCATGTGGTCACCAGCAGTTGTGGATCGAAGGAAGCCTTTATGCCTAGTGATTTGGCTTCTTCCGCTACAGAATCATTTACTTCGATAGCAGCGAATCCTGCGATGGCTTGAGTTCGACGTATCAAGCCGACCTTAAAGCTAATTCAACCTTATTCTAGTTATTTTTTTCTATTTGTGTTTCACTAATTTTATTAGCTCATGGCGATCGTCGTTGTAGAGCTACTTGTCGAATCCGCCGAGTTTCGTTCCCTTCCTCATAAAGTCCAAGAGTCGATTTAAAAGAATTTAACTAATTTGTGTCGTTTAAACGGTGGGTACGAGATGGCTTTTTCTTAGTTTAAGAATTGCTTCGTGAAATTTTGTTGATAGAAGCTATGCCGAATAAGAAGCCCTAAACTTATAAGGAAGACATTTTACCTGAAAAACTTCTTCTAAAGCAATTTCGCCTCGCCATCGTTGCACGTCGTTGCTCTCCAACTAAAATTTGTATGTGCCGTGCTTCTTTCATTGTTCGTCTTTGACATTCTAGTCACGCAAAACTACGAACATTTACTGCTGGCGGACTTTCTTGATATGGGAGACCAAAGACCACTCGAATACGATCGTATTTCTTCTGTAAACGTTCACCATCGTCTTAACACCTTTGGTGGTGACCGATGGAGAATGCCAAGAATTTCTCATTCACTTCGTCCATAACCGTAAGCAAATTCGTCTGAAGTGGTGTCCGACGACGAAGATCGCTGATAATCACTCGTCCTCATCAGCATGGTTGATTAGTTGATCGATGCGATTTTGGATTCAAAGAAGCATGCATACTGAATTTAATTACTGTGCTGCTCTCCACTTCAATCCATCTTTAAGTTGGGGAGTGCGTCGTCCTGTGATTTCATTCTTCGCGCTATATGTTTTTGTATATCGTGTGCCTATGAATGGGTAGGTGCTTCTCTGTTCGTCTCTTTGGTGTGCATCAACACAGTGGCAGTGGCAGTAGCAGAAGTAGCAGTACACGTCGATTTGACGTTAATTTGTCACACGTCAAGCTTCATTACCGGTCTGTAATTGGAGTTAGGCACTAGGCGTTAGGTGTTTCCATTCTTCTTTATTCGTATTACTAAGCTTGACCATTCACATTTTGGTATGACATTACGTTTTCGAGGTTTGTCCGTTTACCTTTCTTCGTATTGGTTTCCATTCTTTTGAAAGTCCACCTCTAATAATACTTCAGTTGACTTACTTTTACTTCTATTGGTTAACATTCATTGCTGTGAATTCTATTAGAACAAACTACCTACCTACTATTTTGGTTGCATGGATGCCTGGTTGCATGTTCGCTAAAACAGTAAAGAGTTTCAGTAACGTAAAACGAACTACGACCTAAAATTTTGGAAATTCGAGTAACTAAGTGTTCGATATTCGATCATGAATCGTATTCGGATGTTTAGCAGATTTGAAAGCTGACACTCAAACGTCAGATGTTCGATGAACATCAGTTACCTTAGTAATATTCATATTTTGGTGTCGTTAATCATACTATCGTTATTGATCGTTGGTTGATCCTGCGTTGATAATCGCGATTACGGTGCCCGGACAAGCGCCAGAGCATATAAGTGCTACCGTATCCACATGCGTCTCTATGTTCTACCAACGACATCGGACCACACAAAGGCTGACGCAGTTGCTGGTCAGTAATGGATACATCAAGGTGGTTATGTTAATTTTCAACTTCATCGATTCTATTGATTAATCAGTGTTCAATTAAAATAACACCTGGATTTGTTCCCTATATTTTACGACATTCTCCGTTTTCGGTATAGTTTTTTTCTTGCTGTTGTCTTTACAGCCGTCATTTTCCGTTATCAAGGAATGACGCGGAGCTTTTATTATTGACCTTGTTTATGTTTATAAGCTTTATTGCTAAAAAGGAATCATGATTACCAGTCATTTACGACTATATAAAAAGCTGTGATTGGCTATTCTTATGTTCTTTATCTATAATGCCTGGACTTTTGGTTTCTCTTAGTAGAACATTAACACTAATCTCGTTATCCTACGAATCTTTTTCATGCGAGCGATTTTGAGCTAGGAATGACGGCTTTTCTATCTGGAGGAAGGGAGCAGTGAATTAAATATGAAGAGAAAGCCACCTTGTACTTGCCCTCACGCACAAATCGATTGAAAAGATCGGTTCCTCGCCTGCGGTCAAATTGACTTCATACAGGCAACCGTTTCGTATATTCGTTTGTAGATGTACCTAAGGATCCTATTGTTCATGTCGGTTCGACTGGAACTCAATAATCAACTCAGTTTAGCATCTATGAGAACCTGATGAATTATCACCGAGTATAACTGCGTCACCATGGCACAACTCGTCTACTTACCTGTGAATGCCTTCACTCCAAAAAGAGTAAAATTAAAAGCTGTTATAGGAAAAATATGATGTTCTTCATGTCCTTCATGCAAGCGTAACAGTATGTAGCTCTGGTCCCTGACAACGAATATACCTTTTGCTGATGCCCACTTAAGTCAATCGGTGATCAACGGGTGTTCTATGTCACTTATTTAATTACTCCTTTAATTGTTTGCATAAGGGCTTAGATAATTCATCTTCACGTCTCGTGGTTTCAGCGCTTCGTTCATTTCTTTC